CAAAATTCGGAATAATTTGTAATATATAATTATTCACGGTATTTAGAAGTGCCCACGATAACAATATCGTGCATATTCATTACCGTGATATATCGCATTACCAAATACCGGCACAAGTCTAAGTGTAAGTGCTGCATGGCTCTTGTTTTCTCTGTAAAGTCCTTGTCATCTCGTTCACAGGTTTAGCTGAGTTTGTTCCTGACCCGCTGAATCATCTCACTTGTGTTACGGTTAATTTTGCAGTCACATGTTGAACCGGGAGCATCTCAGCAGATCAGTTTATGCTGGACAGATTTAGATTCCTCGGTGGCCCGGCGTTGTTTTTGAGTTCAGTTAATCAGCGCACAGCCTCTGCCCTGTACCCAGCGTATGCCAGCATGTGCTCGATCACGACTGCAGCGTAATCTGTGTCATGAGTTTGGGGCCCAGATGACACTTTTGATAACACTGTGAATCATTCTGAATCAGGAATTCTGAATCCAGTCATTAGCCCAGCATGCTTTTCTGTCGTTGAAGAGGGGAAACTTGACTCATTTGATTTAATGAGATATTTCTCAATGGAGTGCCTCTTCGTCCTGCCAGCTGTCGAGTCCAGTGTGTGTTTGTATGTATGTAACGTGAGCGTGTGTGTTCATTCCTGAACTTATGCTCATCGTTAGTCACCCCACAGGCTGCCGGAAGTGCTGATGGGAACAGAACACACACACACACAAAAACTCTGTGCAAGATGGACTTTATCATCTACATCAGTGAGATCAGAGTTTTTCATCTGTTCAAACGCACTGGAGCCCCAGAGTTTACCAAAAGTAAAATAAGTAAACCGGTGCAAAAGCGAATATGTGCTTGTGTGTTCATATGTAATCTATTATTTAATTCTATTATATTTTTTTATTACAAATAGTTATATAAAAGTTGTTTTATATAATTTCAAGATTTTTTGAGGTTATGTAAATATTAAAGTTATGTATCTTTTGCTGCCTGATAGCACTTAAAGCATGTTAAATTCTCTATGTATATTGTAAATACTTAAAGCTTTTGTAAACAAATAAAACCGTTTTGGATTATAATATTTCTCTGAATTAATTTTTTGGGGCAGGGGGTTGCCATCACACATGACTTTATTTTATTTATTTTTAACGGTTTTACAATTATTTATTTTTTTTGTATATGTTTTATTTTATTATTCTGATCTTATTATTTGATCTCATTCTATTTTATTTAGTATTATTTTTTATTCTCATTCTATCATTTTCATTTTATTTAGTTTATTTTTATTATTCTTATATTTGTTTTTTATTTTGTTATTCTGATATTTTGTGTGTTATTAATAAATTTTTTTGTATTTTATTCTATTATTTTTATTATTTGCATAACATGTCTTATCTCATTCCTTGTTCTAATATTTTTATTTTATTTAGTATTTTATTCTGTTATTTATTATTTTTATTAAGCACAGAGTTTCAATATACATTATATATTGAATTCTATATATTATAGAATTTATAATATCATCTATCAGACGTAATTTTAGTTAATATTGTCAGTATTTTTTTTTTTGCCTGTGCATCACCATTTTTAACCCCTCTGCCCGGTTCTGTCTTCTCCTTCCAGCAGGCTAATGAAGCCCTTCACCACCAGCACCAGGTGGCCCCGAACAGCCTGCTGCCACTGCTGAACTCTGAGCCGCAGGACCAGAAGCCTGTGATGCCCATTCCTCTGGACCACAAGCCCCCCGTCAGCGCCGCCGAGCTCCTCAAGGACAACGTAGCCAGCGGGACAGGGGGAGGAGGGGGTGGGAATGCCGGAGGAGGTGGTCCAATGCCCGTGATCAAGAAAGAGCACAAGAGCAAGACGCCATTCATCTGCGGCTACTGCAACAAGGCCTTTCGTGACAGCTACCACCTCCGCCGGCATGAGTCCTGCCACACCGGCATCAAAATGGAGTCCAGACCCAAGAAAACTGCACAAGCAGCACCCACCATGGTCCCACTCATCTCCACCATGTCCCATGAGACCACGGGCAACCCTGCCTACATCTCAACCATTGCTGGCATCCTTTCCACGGCAACCACTTCAACGTCCTCCGCTTCTACTATCATGTCCCCGATGTCCATGTCCAATGTGACCCAACACAGTGCCCCCAAAAAGCCACCCAAACCCGTAAAGAAGAACCACGGCTGTGAAATGTGCGGGAAAGCCTTCCGGGACGTTTACCATCTGAACCGTCACAAGCTGTCACACTCGGACGAAAAACCATTCGAGTGTCCTATATGCCAGCAGCGCTTTAAGAGGAAAGATCGCATGACGTACCACGTGCGCTCACACGACGGAGGCGTCCACAAACCTTACATCTGTTCTGTGTGTGGAAAGGGCTTCTCGAGGTACGTGGAGCTTTTGCACTTCTTGTCAGTTGGCTTCGATTTCGATATTAGGGATCTGAATTATAAGAAATGATTCTAATTCAGATTGCAATGAACAAATCTGGTTCTTTAATGATTCCTATAGTATTTTTGAGGAACCTCCTCCCTTTTTCGATAACATTCACTATCGTTCAAACATTTGGGGTCAGCAAGTTTTTTTTATATTATTAAAAAAAATTATACTTTTATTCAGCAAGGATGCATTCAATTTATGAAAAATAAAGTGAATTGTTAATTTTTTTTAAATATATATTTTCTAATAATTGCTGTTCCTTTGAACTTCAACAAAGAATGCTGAAAACTTTATTACTGTTTTCACAATAACATGAAGCAGCACAACTGTTTTCAAAATTGATAATGTTTCTTGAGGAGCAAATCAGGATATTAGAATGATTTCTGGAGGTTCATGTTACACTGACATTATAAACGACATTTAAAGAAATATCAAAATAGAAAAATGTTAAATTGTAATAATTATTCACAATAGTAGTTATTACTGTGATTTTGATTATAAATGCAGCCATGGTGAACATAAGAAACGTCTTTCAGGACCATAAAACTTGGTCACACTGTAACTTTCCAATAAAAATGTTTTTTGATTCTCATTGGATTATTACAGACAGTAACTGAATTAGATTACAAGCTCAGAACTGAGCTAAAAGCATCATCTTGCACTGTAGATTTAGTAGCTCAGTATAATCGTTAATGAAACCGAACATCATGGAAATCATTTGGTGGAAATCATTTATTTGTTTTTATTTAATGTTGGTTCTGAATAAAAACCAGTTCTTAATATAAATCCCTACAAATAAGTATATATATTTTCACTTTAATAATACTAGAACATTATACATTAATGGCAAATGTGACTCATTTCCATCCTGCATGAAATGAGGCTGTTTGTGGATTCTGATGATGTCAGTGCATTTAATAGTGTCTGTTAAAATATGTGTTCAAAGCTCGAGCTGAATCCACCATCTGCTGTTCTGATGATGTTAATGTCGTCTCGTTCCTATTGGCTGCTGCTGGCTGATTTATAGTTGTTGTGAATGGATCTGACTGGCTGCCTTTGTAGGGCCCAGCATGCCAAGGGTCTGCGTGAACAGAAGGAGGAGGGGGTGCTCTTATTCCTCTGTTATTCCCTCCTTGCCTCCTGTTTGTTCTGTCTTAGAGGATCAGTGCTGGGGTTTCCTTTGAGTCACTCAGGGGCTGCAGACACACGGCTGCTTTAGGAGTCTCATCTATAGAAATCTTTTGTAACATTATAAATGTCTTTACTGTCACTTTTGTTACATTTCATGCATCCTTACCGAATAAAACTCATTAACACCAAACAATCAGGGCAATCAAACTTATGTTCACACTAAAACCTCTAGTGTGAAAGCAGCATCAGTTTGTGTTCTGTTAGCAGCTGTGAACAGTAGCTGGTGTAGACCAATATTTATTGTAAGCCACATCTGGAATTATGCGTTCTAGCTCACGGCACCAGATAAATCTGCAGCTCAGAGGCAGACTCGTCAAATCTGTCTCTCAGAGGCAAAGTACAGCACCTGAGCCTGCTGGTTTTGTTTTTCTGAAGTGCACACAGATGCAGCTGGTACCAAAATCCAGTGGCTTCGTTACAGAGGCATAATACTGTTTTCTTCCTTGCCACATTTTTCATTTTTTCTTCTCTTTTTAGGCCTGACCATCTCAGCTGCCATGTGAAGCATGTTCATTCCTCAGAGAGACCTTTCAAATGCCAAGTAACGGTAAGAACAGGAACCCATTTATCATATTTATGCAGTTGAGCCTCATAACTCTTTGCATCTTTAGTTGCTGGCAGCCAAAAGATGGTAGGTTTGAACTCCATAAAGGGTTAATAATGAGGACGTAACATACCTTACATCAATTTGGATAATTAAAAGAAAACAGATTGAATTTCTGCTGTAAATGATGTAATTCTGCATGTCTTATGTCTGTAATAGGCCTGTACATCAGCCTTTGCCACCAAAGACAGACTTCGGTCACATATGATTCGCCACGAGGGGAAAGTCACTTGTAACGTGTGCGGAAAGATGCTGAGCGCCGCCTACATCACCAGCCACTTAAAAACACACGGCCAGAGCAACTTCAACAATGCCTGTAACAAAGGTAAGTGCAACATGATTGGCTGCCCCAACAGCCAATCAGCCGGTAGTCTGTACAACGACTCTCCCAGCCTCTCTGGGTGACTCCTGTAGCTCTAGCACCAACATCCTTCTACTAACCCTCTGTTTAGGCCTGTCACGATAACAACTTTTTGTTGTGCGATATATTGCCCCAGAAATAATTGCGATAAGCGATATTATTGTCATTTTAAAGACCATTTTATGCCACTGAATATTGCGACAGGCCTACCCTCTGTTCATCTTTCCTCTGAGCTCTTTGCTGTCCCTTCAGCTCCCAACCTCTCTCCTACACACTCAAGTGCACTAGTTTATGAGAAGTGACTTTTGAAGCACAGTTGGGAGATTTTTAAACCTCTCTGAGAAGAACTGTCCAGAATGACAACGTTGTGGTCTTTATGAGTCCTACAACTTTTCAGAACATTTTTTTATCATCCACACAGTAATTTAATTCAGTGTTTTCATGATATCACAAGTTATTCTGAAAACTTTACTTGGTTTGGACATCATCCCATCCCTAGCCTATGGTGTTTCCTGGTTTGACAAAAGCAGGTTTTAGGAGCTAGTGCAGAGCAGCATTTTCTTAGATGGAGAAAAATGGGTATCTGATGAAGCACAAAGAATCTTGGGAGTGAAATCTCTGTAAAGTAGACGTGAGGGCCATTTAAAGCTATTTTTTGAGCACTTCTGTTCAGAATGATAACATGGCTTCCGTGATTCTTTTCATTTAAAGTCCTGTGCCGTTTATGTTTGTTCAGGATTGTGATTCTTGAGAGTTGTTTAGACATTTTTTTGGTTGTGCAATCCATCATGTTTCATTGGTCATGGCATTTGACTCGTTTGTTCAGATCTTAAGTTAGTCAAGCATGTCAGTGGAGAAGACCAGTGCTTTGCTTTAGGCAGAAACTGCTCTGACTGAACCGGATCCTTTCTAAGCACGTGTACGGCAGGGTCAGGAGTAGGTCAAGGGGCAGATCTACTGAAAGGATGAAAAGAGGTCAGCAGTACTCTGGAAATTTGTTCTGTCGTTTACGTTAATTAGAATTTAATGGGTGCAGTTCGCCCAAATTCATGTGTGCGGTCTCAGTTTGTGTCAGAGCTGTTGTGCTATTTAGTGATAAGTGCCATTATGTGCTCTTTTGGACCATTTTTTTTTTCATGAATTAACCCACTGATCCCCATCACATAATCTAACTTTCATGTAGTTTAGTGTTTTTTTTTTTTTTATATATTTCTTGATCGTGATTTAGCTCAATTTTTTGTTGTTGTTGACTGTGAGTCCATAGAACTTTTCCATAGAATGTTAGAATTTGGTAGAGTTGTATATTTTAATAGCTAAAATCTCAGAATGTTCTGGTTTCAAGACAAATTCTCTCTTTATCGACAGAATCTGTGACCATGCTGTTGATTACCACAGAATATTATTTTGTAATTCTATTAATATTAAAAGTATATTAAAAATATTTTTATTGTATAGTATAATATCAAATAATGTGATAGAAAAAATATATATATAAATTGTATTATAATTTCATATATTTATTATTATGTTTTGAATTATATTAATATATTATTTTGTTTCTCTCCTCAGTTAAAAACAAATATAATTGTTTGCAAATTTAATTATTCTGTATTAGTTATATTATTATATTATGTTATATACTATTATGTTGTATAACACCTCAGAATTCAAAGATTTGCTAACAGAAATGCCTTTATAATGGACAAAGAATTTTTACTTATTTTTTTGCTTGTTTTTTGCAAACGGATGGATGAGATTTTTTTCTGTGCTAACATCTGTCAACATGCTGTCGATAGAGCTTAACCTGTATTGAACCTACAGCGTTCACATTAAATGGAAAACTCTCAGATTTTAATACGATAGTCATGTCTGAATTCACTCTGAGCATAAATGCTGCAGCCCTGCATTGTTAAAAGTTCCATAATGCATCACTGCAGGCAGCTGCCTGCCCATCATAACCCTCTGTCTGTTTCTAAGTAGGAGATTGGCAGTGGAACCACTCAGGGCTCCAAAAAGGTAAAAATGAAAAGAAACAAAAAAGGTGGAAAAGCAGATATACACACACAATAACAGTTTGCTGTCTCCGCTGTTGATATCAGGAAGTTCAATCACAAATGCTCACATATATCTACTGGTCTAGGTCATTTGCCATACCAGTCTAGATGCCCAGAGAGTTTGGGAACAGAATACACACAAACCCTCAACAAAAGCGTTAAGAGTCTCCTGTCTCTTTCTCTACTCTACAGACAGCACTGAAGTCTGCAACTCTGCCTCCACCACGTCAGTTACAGCCACAAACCCCATCACCACTGCAATGAACCGCGGCAACACCAGCAACCCCGTTACCATAGCAGCCCAGATGAACATCTCTACCAACACGGTCAACATCACGTCTCCCGTCAGCCTGCAGCACCCGGTTACCCTCACCGGCCCTGTGAACATCGCATCTGTCAACATCCCAGCCACAGCGTCCATGAACATCGCCCACCCAGTGGCCATCACCACACCCATGCCCATGAACATCGCCGGACCGCTCAACATCGCCATGAGACCTATGGACACTATGCCCTTCCTGTCCCAAGTCCTGCAGTCTTCTCACTGGTAGAACCAGGGGCGCTGACCAGCATTTTTGCCCTGACTGCCGTGCTACTGACACCTGAGTGGCGTGAACAAACCCATCCCATGGCTACATTGCAACACTAGCAGAAGATTTGCACGGATTTCCAACTCTCTCTGGCCTTCAAATATGTTTGCGTTTTGCGCACCTGGTGAGCAGCTCTGTAGCAGGGCATTTCGCAAGCCCCTCTGAGCACTTCAAACCTCGACGATGGACGTTTTTAAGGACAAATGCAATAATTGATGTGCATTTCGAACACTTTTTTTAATAAGCAGAGTGCCGGTGGGTACTTCAATGATGTTGAAGTGTAACCTGCTAATCAGTATTTAAGGAAATTCATTTGAAATGGACTGTTGCTTCCATTGGGAGGGAGGATTTTAAAAAATATTTTTTGCATTATTTTGATTTTGCGCAGGGGTGTGAGTGTGTGCGTGCATTTGTACGTGTGGCAACTCTGAAGAGGTACAGTAGAGAACTTTTTTATTATTATTAATGGTGTTCGTCATGACACTGTTTGCGACTTTTCAGTTTTTCTGAGGGGAGGGCAGCTTCTTTCTCTTATTGTTTACGTGGCCATTGTTAGTTGTCGCATGTTTTCTTTTTGCATACAGAAGAAAACATTTGGAGTAAGGAAAGAGTCTTGCACTGAAAGCATATCGCCAGTCTAAAGAGGCAGTATTATCTAAATATAAATATCATGATGTGTCCCAAATGATGCACTTGATGTGGTCACTATGGTCTTGTGGTCTTTTTTTTGTGCAGATCCACAAAGCCCATGAGGACATTGAGTATCCCATTTGTCATTTTATGATTGAGAATGGTGCTCAAGAACGCCCCCTTTGCACAATGGTGCGGACTTCACAGCAGACTACTACTCGACAGTCTGTGCAGCATTACTTCACCAAACTGTGGACTCTGAGGACCGTAAGGGCCAAGTGTGTCATTTGGGACAGGGATTAAGAGCTGTAGATAACCAGCTCATTTAAAACAGCGCCATCTATTGGTTGGAGTACCACGTTGATGCCCTTTAAGTTTTAATTTGGACTTTTGTCTGTTAAAAGTATTTTATAACCTTGTTTTTAGTATTTTTATGTAATGTTTGTAGGATCCCTGTTCTAAAAAAATATGAAGAATATGAAATGAATGTGAATAATTCCAGGAAAATGCCTTGGAATTATACGTGTTTGTAAATATATTTCACTTTGTTTTTATTTCTTTTCTGTGTGTGTGGTTTGTTTTGTTTTAGGTTTTATTTTTATTTACTGTTCTTCTTTTGTTTGTTTGATTTTTCTTTTTTGTTAAATGTTTTTGTAAGCTTTTTATTTTTTTAAGATTTTCTTTTGCTTTTTTATGTTTTGTGTTTTTTTGTTTTGTTTTCAATGTGTTATTTCAACAGCAGCACCATCCTGCTCATTTTATTTGTCTCCAGTGTTTTGGATTTTGTAGACGATTTTTTCCTGTAGCTAAAGCCCAGAAGCACCATTTAACATAAAAGCATGTCTTCAGTCTGAAATAATGGAGAATGTTTACAGACTGCCTCTGGAAATTTCTACACTGTGGTGGGTGGTTATGTGCTGGTCTGTGTGGACTAAAGAGTTTAATAATTTTGTGTTAATGAGAACAATAGTATAAGTAGGAAGTGTGAGCTGTCATTCACTACACGGATCTGTCACCAATGTGAAGGAATTTAGGTACATTAAATAGGCCACTTCCTCTACATGCTTCCTGTGGATGGAGCAGGTGCCAGAGAGAAGAGACTGCTGTAGTGAAAACACTAATTATTCGACTTGTATGCAACTTTTTTTTGTGGGTAGTTTTCCCGCCACAGCCTGTGATGTGATGATCTGGAGTGTCTGAATGGATGCTGTCCACCCCAGCACTGAGTCTCAGGAAGGGTATGCTTTTTCCTGATCAGACACAACAAATCCCTGATCCATGTGTGTGTGTGTGTGTGTGTGTGTGTGTGCGCGTGTGTGCGCGTGTGTGTGAAGCATTTGATTCTCCCATCACACTAGAACAAACAAAAGCATGTTTCTATAGTTTAGTATGTGGGAGAGTGAGAATGCACGTTTATGCATTTCATGGTAGATGCATTACAATTGCCTCGTTTATTTGCCAAATTGAAACCAATTATGAAATCCAATGAAGTGAACATTTTAGAATTGAGTCTAATGTTGTTTGTTTTGATTCAGTTGATGAACTGGATGATTTTGGAGCCCCTGTGAAAGCGGTTGAATGTATATGTTTGTACAGAAGTGTTTAGCTCAGAAGATCTTAGAGAACAGATAGACATGTGAGCAAAGAAAAGCAAAATAACCTTTTATAAAACTTTTGTATTAGTACATTAACAATGGTAATTTTGTATATATGAAGACTAGGCTTTCTGAGTAGCAGAAAGCAAAACATTCCTACATTTTTTTTTTAAATGTAAGTTTGTCAGAAATAATGATGTAAACATGCGCAATGTTTATGTGCCTTTTATTTGGGTTGTCTAAATAAAAACTGTAAAACATGATGGCTGCATGTGCGTGTATAAGAGACCTACCAGCATCTATTCTCAATAATGCAAAAATTAATTGCATAAATTCGAAAACGCTCCATCTACACTTGTCTGCATGATAAAACTGATACCTCATGTTAACAGTAATCTTTTATTACTTATTCACACAGATGTACCTTGTTTGACAGTTTCCCTGCAGTCATGGAAAATCAAGAAATAGCAGTTTTAAAATTGATTTCCAGGCATGGAAATTTCTAAATATAATATATATTTCTTTCGAATTATACTCTTGATATTTATTATATTTATTCATTTAGTTAGTTAGTTAGTCCAAAGAAATTATTTTTGCTGGTCAAAAGTGGAAACACTGATTGTTGAACCAGCTTCTGACTTTATATCAGAATTACATGAGTAAGTTATTTTGCATGTATATAAATAATTATAACTATTATTGTTTTTATTATAGATTAATGCATTTATTTCTTTATTTTGCATCTAAAACAACATATTTTTGCTGGTCAAACAAAGTGTGGAAATCCTTATCTGAAAATGTGATTCGTTTTAAAGGGGTCATATGATGTTGCTAAAAAGAACATTATTTGGTGTAATGAAATGTGTTTATGCAGTTTAAGGTTAAAAAAACACATTATTTTCCACA